CCATTAAAATTTTTAACTGCTCGCAAAATTTTACCTTTGGTCGATTTGCTCGCAAAATTTAAACGAGTGCTCGCTTGCTCGTGTTTCCAAAATTTTTGCAGTTGCTCGCATGCCCGGTTTCTTGTCAGTATTGCTCGAGATTTCGTGAATACTTCTGTGGATTAAAGTAAATGTAATTCTGTATGGTGCTTAACTAAATATGGCTATCAAGTTCAGTGGAAATGCACGCGCAGTAAATGACAACGATAAATAATAAATTAGCTAATCTAGCTATATATGGTTAAAAAGAGAAGATATTGCTACCTTGAGTTTTTTTGAGTTTCTCACTGGGCTTTAATTGGGCCGTGTTTTCAATAAAAACGGTTTGGAAGCTTTAATTTAGGATTCTTCCGGAAGAGGTTGTTCTGACACGAGGATGTTGTTCCTCTCCAAGTTCTTTTTCAAGTTCTTCTTTCTTCGACCCCCCTTGTTCGCTCGAGACATTCTTTGTAGAGCTCTTGGTTTAAATCGATATGAAAACCTTCGTCTGTGAACTGCAATTCCCAAACGGTTCCAGTCACAAGATGTTTCTCTACCTGAGCGGTGAACTCGTAACTGAATATTAGGCAATCTTTGGGATCGCTTGCGTACAGGTGTGTTTTTACTTTAGACGAAGTTCTCTTAAGGTTTTGTGCAAGCTTTCATAAAATAAAAGGTCCACTGATCTCTTTGAACTTAGCGATGAGTATCACATCGTCTTTTTAAAATATTTTATGTTTTATTTTAAAGAAAAGGATTTATTTTATTTTTTTTTTCGTTTTATTAGCTTTGTCCCGATGAATACAAAAAAATTGAAGATATGCAAATACTAGTAAATAAGAACGTAACAATACACTAATAATAACTTAAATAATTTGGACAGGGACACTGCAACAGCTTAAGCCAATTACTGCGGACTAGGATTTCCATATGGATTGCTGCAAGCGGAAAATATAAGAAGCGATCGCTGCTCGCGAGTTGTACTCTCTAAACTGCTCGCTGCTCGCAAAGGAAATTTTTTCTCTCTGCTTGTGCTCGAAAAAAAATCGCAATGCTCACATGCTCGAGAATGCTCGCAGACCATTCGTCACCCCTAGAATTACACAGCGAAATTGGAGCTATCGATGTGAATCAACGTTTTTTGGTTATTGAATCAAATTTCTGTTGACATTATTTGAAGAACATCCTTTCATATTTATAAAACTATTCATAACATATAACTGTACAGCGCTCGATTAATTTTAATATCAATAATTTTACATCAATACTAAAACCCTAAACTGGTGCATGTCGTCGCGGCGTGAAGTCGTAATTAAAATCCTAGCGTTATTACAAAGGAAGACGTTAACTGAAACAAAATATCGCACATTAAAATGCTTGCAGGGTTGACGGAGGACAGGGCATTTGCCCTCTTTTTTCGTCCCCACCCCGAGGGATTTGACAGCTCAAGAGTCCTCACCCCCGGGTATTTGCCATCCAAGGCAAAAAAAATGCTAATGCCCGGGGCTCAGCCGGGGGGGAGGGGGGGGGCTGGGCGCAGGTGGATGCATAAACGGTTAATAAAAGAGTTTTTAAATCTTAGGTTTATAATAAGTTTCTTTCCTTAGATGGTAGCTAGACGGTTTGACATGAGGCATTATAGGTAAGAGTGGATGACTTAAAGACTTTTCGCAAAATTTCGCGATCTTGCCTTTCTAAGAAATCATATATACTTACAGGCTTACACCTGTATTTCCTTTTAAAACAGTGGTCCAAGAAACATTGCACAGGTGTAAGATCGGAATCGCACGCAACGTAGGCGGATAATGCATGGACATGATTACAAGGCAGGATTCTAAAGTCCTTACTAGGAGCCGGAGCCATAGAAAAACGACAAAATAAGACGAATAAAGTTTGACTAAGTATTCCAATTTTCAGTGAAACATTTTGACCATTACAAGGCAAATGCGAGTCACGTGACTCAAATGGATGTAAACGTGGAAAGGAACCTTCTTGTCAGGTTTCACAAAGATGAGAGGAATATTTCTCCTCGAAATCAAAACCCACTGAATTTTGGTTGAGTCAAGCCTTAATACACATGAGGTAGAGGGCAAACAATAATTGACGCGTTTTATTGCTCCAAGGCCAGATGCAATTTTCTTAGATATATTCCCTTGTTAGATTTTCATGAAAAAGTACGCCAAAAGACTTAGAGCAATGAGAATGTTTGATTGGAACGTTATTTATATTCAATGAAGGCAGAGAAGGTAGATTATTAAGCTTTTGCTTGAGCCGATTAACATGAACTCAGTTTTAGTCATATTTAGCGTTAAAGCCAGCGATTTATGTTGAGCAAGTCTTCGTTCAGGGAAGACTGAATGGAGTGGATATTACCATTCGAATAAGTCAGATGGGTATCATCTGTATACATTCCTGATTCAGAGTGAGACAGACAATTGAGCAAATCATTGACATATAGCAAAAACAGTAGAGGCCCTTATATTGTTCCCTGGGGAATACCACACTTGAGGGTGCAACATTCCGAAAGGGAACCATTGATAGAGGAGGAGTAACCATAGCCGACTTCAATCGTCAGGAAATATGCCATTAGCTAAGAAACTATTAAACATATTATGACTGCCAATCAAAACATGAATAAAACCTCAATGAAACATGTACAACAACACTTTTTATTCAAGACAGCAAGTAAAGTGACTGAAATGTTTCCGAAAACCTTGCTATGACTTCAGATCGGAGACATAATCGATAGCCACATTTCATGGCCTTGGACGGAAACACTACTTTGCTTCGAAAATTGTTCTTCGAGTTCTTGTCTGTTGTCTTCGTAGCGTCGGTTCCATGTCTTCTAGTCGTCGTGTCCTTGGTTCTTGTCATCGTACTGGGGACCTTAAGATCTGAGGACGGTAACGGCAGAGAAAACGTCGCTGAAAAAGTGAATTCGCGTTCTTTCAATCTTCATCGCGATTACTCCAAGTCACTAACTTTTTCAAATATAGGCGAACCATCCTAAAATTGAATTCCTAAGAACCATATCCAAGTGCAGAAAGAGAGAGGAAATTTCGTCGTCGCTTGTGTAATTCCTCTGTACAACGTGAAGATTAGGCATTTTCACGTCGTAGTCGTACAGTGACGGCAAAGAAATCTACAAAAAAGCGTGATGCACGTGCAAAATTGTTGTTTTGCTAATTAAACCTATTGCTTTTGTGGTGTTTACCTTGCCGTCGCCGTCGTCGGATCTTAAGGTCCCTACTGTCTTCTTCGGGGCACCGCTGGCCTTTCTTCGTGTCGTCAATCCCTTTCGATGGTTGTTACGTAGTTGCGTCGTTTTCATGTCTTCGTGTCGTCCGTTTTTCCTTTCATCGACTTCGCTATGTATCTAGTTTAGAACTTTGCATTTCTTTTCACTGCTGTGATCGCGTCATCTTTTAAATATGAATAAATCACAACACCAGAACGTTTTCTCGACATTTTCTCAGCCATAAAATTCATCTGTTAGTTCTTTTGGGCCTTTTTACAGACCGAAATGACAGATTTCCCTACTCTTTCATATACTTCAACCCCCCCTCCCCCTGGTGAAATCCCTACCGTATACCTCAGCTAGTGAAATCCTTACCCTTTCATATACCTGAAGCCTGAAAACGTAACACATTTCTGGCGGTGTCTCCCCATATAGTATAAACATTAACCACAAAGGACTGCAAACGAATGTGCCCAGGAACGTAGGATCTATAAAGACCTGATCAGCAAAAATAACAAGTAGACATTTTAAATTCTGCAAGCAGAATACTGCAATGCTGATCGTACTACGTGAAAATTAACTTTGCAAGACATAATGCGTAGAAAAAAGGGAACTTCATTGGAAAATTAACTTAATTCAAAAATATGATCATCACATCTCCACATCGCGCTGTTTCACTAGATATAATAGCATTGTGTTTGCAAATGCCAGTGCCAAAGGAAGTTAAGATATTTAATTTTCATTTCAGTCAACAATGATAACCAAGAGAGCATTAATTATTTTAACAGAGAAATCAGGGGCACCCAACGAGAATATAGTTCAAAACCACTTAAACATAGCATTGATGAACGTAGGTGTATAAGGCATATTTTTATCTGCTAAAAATTTTTCATCTGTTCGGATTTCCTAGCTGAAAGTCTAGTGATCCGAAAATTATAGGGATCAAAACTTACCTTTTCGAAAATTTCAGCCAGAAATAAGGCTCCCGTAAATTCTAAGTGACCTTTTTAGGGTAAAAATCCGTTAAAAGTGGGCAATTACACCATTTTTTATATTTTCGAAAATCCTAGAAGAGGCAGGCAAGCAAGAAATTTTAAAAAATATGTTCCGAAAATTCTAAATCTCAAATCGTCTTCCGAACAGATATTTTCCGAAAGTTGACGTTGGGTGCCGCTGAGAAATAACCATTTCATTTATCAATAATTATCAATAATTACGTGCAAACAGAACAAACCACTGGACGAAAAAATGGATTTGCTTCAAATTTGCTCAGCGCAAATTCGATGCAAATTTGTGCAAACTGGGGAATAAATCTGAGCAAAGGTGGTAAATGCCGAATTTGCATACCTATTTACACCCGGGTGTAAAAGGTATGCAAATTCGGCATTTACCACCTTTGCTCAGATTTTATTCCCTAGTTTGCACAAACTTGCATCGTATTTGCGCCGAGCAAATTTGAAGCAAATCCATTTTTTCGTCTACTGATATCTGAACAGTTTACAAATGCTCAACGTTTTCATTCTTGTTCCGGGGAAAACCCTTTTTTCCTTGCCGAGCTTTGCCTCTTTGAACGACGAGTTTAAATATACTAAAGTAACTGTAAATTCCCTTGCAAGGTAAGTAGATAAAGGCATTCCCCTGTAAGGTGTTAAAGCTACAGCTATACCGTACGGCAGATAACAAATAACCAATGTTACCTGCACCCACAGTGCACTGTATACTGCTTTTCTGTACCGGGATTTATTCAGTGTATTTGCTTGGCTCGATTGTCCTTGAACAACATGGTTCTGACCATGAATTTGGTTATGACGCAGAGACATAAAAATTTTTGTGTAGGCACAGATTGTGTAACTAAACAGAAAGCTGTAGCAATATATTGGTACAATGAAACTATAAAAAGATTCAGAAAGGAGATAGATGCACCCACAATGGACACAATCCAACCACCAGTAGCAATTAAACGTGTTCTCTTCAAAGTTACAACTTCTCTGTATCTGAGACCCAGTAGCAAAGCGAGAAGTCTCTCCACACTTATTGCAGTCAGTGTTATCAACGACACTGAACACAAAGTAACACCTAGGAAATATCCTGTCAAATGTATGTAATAGCAAATATCCCATCGTTCGTTCATGACAGAAATCCAATATGCAACGAGTAGACGTTCCCCAATAACACCAACGCAAAGATCAGTTTTCGCTAGGTTACGATACAGGAGTTTGGATGGCGGGTGAATTGATGTGTCCTTGTGAAGGGCAACTAGGATCAGAGTATTCCCCAAAAATGCTGTAATTGACAAAAAAAGGTTAATGACAGAGAGAAAAATGAACTCGCCATGTACCTTTCCAATAAATTCCGCAGAGCAGTACAGTTTTCCGACTGTTTGTTGGTTTACACCTCCACTTAAATTTTTCATTTGCACGACTTTTCTCCTATGCAACTACGGTCAACTGAACTGTGTTTTATTCTTCTTATATGACTGCTACACCTCGTCAGCGAACAATTAAATTAGAGTTTATTGAACGATAGAATTCGACAATCTTGGTGTTGCCGTGCGATTAGGAAGCAAATAGCACAATTGCCTGACTTTTAGAAAACGACTGAGTTAAACTGTTAGTAATCAAAAAGTCAATTAACCAAGTCTTCATCGATAACTCCCTTAAACATAGATTCAAGTTGAGTAAAAGACGGTTTTTATCAATTGCTAGAAGTTAAACTAACGCGCTCATAATGTCATCGCAGGCAGTGAGGTCTCAGTAACAATGTACAAATGTTCAAACAATGTGTTCGAAAGTCTGGGCCATTTACGAGATGGGAATTAAAGAAAATAAAACGTTTGTACAGCGTTCGTTCTAGCCTAGGAAATTAAGATGTAACCTGTTTTTATCATAATAAAAATCATCAAAAAAAATATATTGAATTCGACGATTAGTTTAGAGCAATGCAGTTTTAGTAAACTTAGTGAGAGCAAGCTAAAGAACGAGAAAATTTTGCTAACGGAGGTGTTACGTTTGTGAGCCGAACATATGATATGCGGTGTCGTAAACTGCCGCTTAAAAGCCCTCGGATTATACATCTTCGTAAGGGGTTTTAGGAAAGCTTATGAATTAAACGGAGGGGCTTATATCCGAGGGAGATTATAACGGGAATGGAAAAAGCTGTTCGAAACAAGCTAAAGCAGTGCTGATTAAAATATGTTTTGCAGTTACGGGTAAAAGCTTCAAAATATCATAATATATCAAATTCATTTCAATACAAGTTAGCGGGGAGATTATATTTGCGAGCCTGTTACTGGTGGGGCTTACATTAAAGTGTTTCTGTATTTTATAGCTTCAAATTGCTTGTGCCGTTTTTCTTCATCTTTGACTGACGTTCACATGGATACCAGCACTAAATTGGCCACATTTTCTTTAGAAGAGGATTTATAACCGAGTATATAAATCCCCTAATATCATAGGTGACGAATTACTCCTTAATTTTGGCGCGAAATTTCAGCCTTAATTTGTAATTTCACATGTGAAATTACTAAATTGCCATGGCAACCTGCCGTACGTCTCCGTTTCAAGATGGCGACGAAGTTTTAAAATGTCATGAATGAAGATGTCAGGGCATAAAGAGACGCTTTAGAAAACTTGAACACACGAAAGAGCACACCAAGAAGGATTCTTAGAGGTATGTTGTGGAAAAATTCCGAAAACTTAAGCCAAATTTCAGCTCTAAACGTTTGAGAGAGTGGGGTTCACGATCGATCGATACGATCCAGGATAAACAAGTCAAAAATCCTCGATTGCTATTAAAAGGTAATTCGTCACCCATGATATTAATAGGTAATCAAATGGTGTACTCGTGAAATTATTCCCTAATTTCACTCGTCACCATTTGATTACACATACAAACATATCAAACAGGGTGGGCTATAACCTTAACATTTTGGGCGGTTTATTTGCAATAGCTTAAATTGCTATTTCACTACGTCAAGATTATATCTTCATTTAAATTGCTTTTTAAATTTATTTCCCCCGTTCACATCATCTCCCGGCGCGTCCAATTCGGATCTCATATACGAAAGGTAGAATATTTAAAATTAAAAAAGTCATGGTGACGTTCATTTCGATTGAGCCTAGTGAACCCAACATATTAACATGGAACTTGCACCATCATTCACCATCACATTTTGCTATCCTCTTTTGTCTTAGAGAAAAATTAACTCGCCATGTACCTCTCCTCGACTCTCTATTGAATTTTGCAGAACAATATAGTTCTCTAATTGTTTGGTAGTTTGTCATTACAATGACTTTTCTCCGAAGCAACTACGTTCAAGTGAACCTTTTTTTAATATATCTGTTTTCCTTACGTGATAGTTTCATCATGTCGAAAACCAATTAGATATGTGGGCTGTATTTTCATTTTATTAAACGACAGAGTTATTGACAATCTTGTTGCCGCCGTGCAATTGGTAAAACAAATAGCACATTTTTCTGGATTTTAGAAAACGGGCTAAACTGTCATAATCACTGAAACAAAGCTTATTAACCGAGTCTTGATCGATACATCTGTAGAACAAAGATCCAAATTGATCAAAAAAGGATTTTTATTAATGTACTATTAATCGTCTCATCGCAGCCAGGAAGTCTTAACATTTATACACATGTTCCAAAAATGGGCTAAATCATGTTTGGGTCAGTTTGTACCATATACTTACGAGATGAGAATTAAAGAGAAAAAAATGTTTCACGTTCGTTTTTGCTGCTGCTATCTCTCTTTTTAAATCCAGATTAAAATCATTCTTCTTAGCTGATTAACTGTTTGTGAATAATACTTGTTTTCTGCTGCTTTTTGTCTGTTTTGTCTGTTTTGTTTTGCTTGCTTTTTATCCTAATTATATTTCAGTATGATTTTGCCGATTATTTATGCATGATGTTTAGTCTTAGGTTAGGGAGCAAGCTCATATAATAAGCCCCAAGGTTTCCATTTGTCTTATGAGCTTCATCGCCAGAAAAATACTTTTAATTCTTTCAATTTACACCTCTTTAATCTTTAAATAACATTTTTCTAATATACTAAATGTCTGTCTGCATATGTATTTTTTTTCTGGCAAAAAAAAAAACTGAAACTAAACTGAAACTGAAACTGTTTCAGAACTTAGGGAATTATTTGAGTGTGACCTGTTTTTCATCATAATAATAAACATGAAAAAAAAAAGAACTCTTGAATCTGAGGATTGGCTGATCTGTGAGAGCAATGCAGTTTTATTTAAACACAGAGCAAAAACGAGGAAATACAATGCAAAAACAAGGAAGTAAAATGTAAATATTACATATCATAGAATGGAGTCCAGTAATCGGCTAATAAAAAATCGGAAAATAGTGAAACGCGAGACACTATATGCGCGATGGGGGAAGGGAAACTTGCCCCTATGGTCGTTTGCTTTATTTTTATCACTACACGGTAAAACTATACTTTGCCCACAAAGTTTAAATTACAAAATATACTAGCCCTCGTTATCTCATAATTGACAATGTTAAATTTTGAAAAAGCAATATTTGGGAAAAGTACTATCTTTGCGCCATGATTAGTTTTTACAAAATTGAACTCATGACGTTTGTCTTGATTATAACATAGTGGCTTTTGTTTGATAAACAGCTGTTATTTATGCTACTGTATTTTAAATTTCGCGGAACAGTACAATTCTCTGACGGTTTTCGGCTGGTGTCTCTGTGATGTTAAACTATACTTTGCCCACAAAGTTTAAATTACAAAATATACTAGCCCTCGTTATCTCATAATTGACAATGTTAAATTTTGAAAAAGCAATATTTGGGAAAAGTACTATCTTTGCGCCATGATTAGTTTTTACAAAATTGAACTCATGACGTTTGTCTTGATTATAACATAGTGGCTTTTGTTTGATAAACAGCTGTTATTTATGCTACTGTATTTTAAATTTCGCAGAACAGTAAAATTCTCTGACGGTTTTCTGGCTGGTGTCTCTGTGATGTAACTGCGTTCAAATGAGCTGTTCTCTTTCTGTGGCATATTCATAATCTTCACTAGGTCTTCATTGTCGGAGAACTGAATAGCTAACTCAGTAGTGAGTAATATTTTCATTTTGTATTAAGATTACTCTGATTATTAACTTGGATGTTTAACATAAACAAATGAGTGTATGGGCTCGATTTCCGCCGTCTCCCTGGTCCGGTCTTTGATCCTCCCAAAGAGCTCTTTCGGAGGATGGGGCGCCGGGGGGTGGGGCGCTTTTTGTCTTATGAGCGATGGTCAGGAAATCGCGACCATCGAATGGCATGAGTTGAAAAATCGATTTCCTTCATTTTTTTGTCCATAAATAGCTTTTAGGTAGATAAGTAATCTGATGTAAGTTGTTTTCGCAAAAAGCCTTTTATTCTCGAGAAAAGTAAGAATATCAGTTTCCGCGGTCGGAGTCTCAGAATGGCCGTATTTTCAACCCGAAATTTGCTAACATCAACTCTCCTCGCGTTCGCAAATAAAGCTGCAAGGAGAAATTTGGACACTTTCCATCAATAGAACAACTCTTCTTCTTTCCCTAGAAGATACTTTCAAAGCAATATCAAGACTCGTTGAACTAACATAATTCAAAAACGAAGAACATGTTTTACGGTGACAAAAACTTCAATTCAGTAGTTTTTGTCTGCGGCATTATTCTTCGTGTGCTATAGCTACAAATTTTCCCGATCCTCGTTTATTCACACATTTAAACATTCATCTAAAACATGCCTGAGAATTGGCTTGGGTTCCTTTAGGCAGCCTCCAAACGAAAGCATCGAAGTCCGTTAAAAAGAGTTAAGCGTGACCAAAACAACTTATTTAAAGGCTTCAAGTTTCCTCGATCGTAAAGTAACAATACGAAATATCTTCCTGTTCAGTCATCCTTAGCGAATTACCGTTGTTAAAGTCCTTATTTTTCGATAAAAGGTGAGAACCAGAAGAAGAGCGTTTGATTTTTTCTTCTTCAAAATAATGTCGGGATCAAAAATGTTACTCTTCGAAGAACTGCGTTGCGTTACTACCATGATTTTGACGGCTCCGTCTCTTTAAACGTACGTTATGTCACATGCAGTCACGGAACAGACTGTCACGCAGGGTCGCCGGCTGGTAGAGCTCATTGTCTCAAAATGGCTAAAATTGACCAAGTTTCACCTTTTTACCCCACTCTTTGATTGAAAAAGGGAATTTTGCAATGAGAAAACCTACAAGAAGTACAAAAAACGAGGCTGTAAATATCTACTTTTGTGCGTTTCGAAATTGGAAGCGTTTACACAATTACCGTCGGCCTACCATGAAAATTCCTGAACTTCGATGGTGTCTTACAGAGATTACATTCAGTAACCCTTGCCAATTCCGAGGTATGTCTTAAATGAATGTCTAAATGTGTGTTTT